GAGGGGGAGGGGAGGGGAGGGAGGGGGTGGAGAGACCGAGGGAGAGAGGGAATCTGCTCCAAGAGGAAGATGTGGTCCTGCTCCCAGAGGAAGACGCAGTGTTTGGCCCAGCAGTGGTGTGAGGCACTGGCCAAGGCTTCTGACTAAGGAATAGGTTGTCTCCTGATGCCGAGTCACTTCCCCCATTTTTGACAAGTGCGTCCCTCTTGCAACAGCCCACCTTTCATCTCCACGAAACAGGACTGAGTTTGTGTCAGAAGAACAAAGCTCCTGGCGTCACTACGGGGATCCCAAGGGGACTCAATTAAATGACTAGTAAGTGGCAAATCCCTCTTCTTGACACAAGGAATGGTTTCCGGACTTATAAATAGTAAAGGCCCATGCGTGTATTTGAAAATGTATAGAGTATCTCTAGAAATTACACTGAACGACTGAAAAAGAGATGGTCTAAAGGGAAGGGAATGGGACAGATGTCGAAGTTTCGGGCACGGAGACACATGACTACGTACCACGAACGCACACTGCTTATAAAAGGGGAAAGAAAGGTGTTACAGGGCAACCTTACCAGACAGCCACGCAGACCTCTTGCGGCTTCTCACAGATGGCCGTGATGCTGCAGTTGCTCCAGCAGGACTTCTGGCTGTCACAGGTGGACAATCTCACATCACAGAATTTACACAACTGCGGCAACTTGACGGCACCATTGTCGTCAGTGACCATCACGTCACTGTTAACTGGGAGGGAAAAGAGATGCATTACATGGTTAACCAACATAATCAGCTGCCAGTGGATTCCTGATACGATGCAATTTCAAATGAACCTGGTGTCAGAAGAATGAACGCGGAGAAAGGCCACATAATGCCTCCACATCAGATGAGAATTCGGTAATGAAAGCCAGGGCAGGGTGGAGATGGTTGGGATGGAGGAGGTTTGGTAACTTCTTGCCTTTGTCAGTGAGCGTCATAAGGCACTCCTTCTACAAAATTCTCCTCAATCAACCCAGAGACAGAGCTTGCGTCGCCCCACTGCATGGTGCTGGGTGCTGGTGAGCGTACCCTTAAGGAAATTATAGTTTAGCTGGTGGATGGACACAAAAACAGACCAGGGCAGGGCAACCCAAAATAAAGAGAAGCACGGAAGACGTGGGAGCCAGACGAGAGTCACCACCTCGTGGGCAGAGAGGGGTCCCGAGGAGCAGAGCTGTAACATGAGGAAAGGGGGTTGGCCAGCTCGGAGGAGACCCTGGGGGTGAGGTGGGACTTTGCCATCGTTTTCCTGACCTACACCCGACAGAGCTATCCGGGCCTTCTTTGCAAGAGCCTGGCTCTGACTGCTTCCTGTTGCGTTGAGCCAACTCAGTTGATAAAGTGTGTCTCCTAGACACACACACACAGGTGAGGCCTGGAGTCCCACAGGTGAGTGCCAGCAAGTTCCATCTCAACCTCGGCAACCTCTCTGACCTCATCCCTCCCACCGCCACCAGCCTCCCTCTTATTCTTCACTCACTACCTTTTAAGACACACGGGCCTTTCCTGGAAGAAGCCAAGCTCCTGCCTTCCTCAGGCCTTTCCCTTGCTGTGCCCTTTGCCTGCCCTCTTGTCACCTTCCTGATCTCTGGTTAAATGTCACCTCTTCATCCTAAAGCAGCCCACAAGGAACCAACACAGGGTTTTGTTTGATCTTCTGCACAATCTCCATCACTCACTGGCTTCTGCTCCATCCACCAAAATGCAAGCTCCACCCACCAAAATGCAAGCTCCACGAGGCCTTCTCTGCCTTGTTTCCACACCGCTTCTCCAGGGCCAAGAAAAGGGGCTGTCACATACAAGACATCCAAACAAGCATACTGAATCAATGGTGACTAGCTAATACACGAAGGAATGAACACAAGAAGTTCACATCTGGCCTTGGCGCCAGGTGGGAAGGGACAGAGAGCTTCCTCCCTCCCCTTGGGGAAGTGTGATGATACACGCAATATTCACTCACGTTCACCAGTAACACACTGAAGACAAACTGTCCTTGGCAACACATATCTGCATGCTGAGAGGTGCTAAAAAGGTATAACACCCCTTCCCTCCTTTTTTCCTTCAATGAGATCCTTTTCCATTGGCAAGGGTGGCAACTAAAGGCATGAGTTTGGAGAGTGAGACCAGGCTATTGTCAACAAACGTGAACTCAAAGACACTTCTCTGCTAGACTAGGAAAGATTAAGCACCCAGACAGCAGGGGGCACTAGACCAGATTCCATCAGGAAGCTGGAGGGTGCCTCTCCCAGGGTCACCACTGGAAAGGCCTAAGCAAATCCTCCTCGTTCTCTCCTGTGTTAAGGATGCTCCAGCCTAAGTCCCGATGCACAGCTTCCAAGACCTCCCGTGGCCGCTCCCTTCCCGTGAATTCTAGTTTCTGTCACCGACACTTTGCCACGCAGACGTCTTTGTTGCTTGGGCATAGCACCTGTTTCCTGGGTCTCTAAAAATATAAACCTATATAAATTTAAGATTTGCTTTCTTGTGGCACATTAAATATAGAAGCAAAAAAATAAACCCATTCATCCCTCTCAGGCCTCAAGTTCATTTCAGGAAGTGTATTTTTAGGTGACAAACTATTTTGAAATTCTCAATGTCTCCCAAACCAAGAGCTCTAACTAAGCTTAGCTAAAAATACAGGCCACAATGCTCTCTGAGTCTTGTGTTCCATTTGGGACTAAGACAACAATGAATAAATATATATTTTCTACAATGGTTAGATTTGGATCCATTTGTGAAACAGCTAATTTAACCCTTCAGGCTTCCCTACAAGACATAGGCAAGGCAAAACAAAACAAAAAAAAGCTAGGCCATGTTCTGTTTATTTGATTTTTTTAATAGAGTAGTTTCAGACAAACATCTCTTTGCTGGTTAGAAAGTTGCTGTTTTTAAATATAAAATCAAGCCTCCAAGACTTGGAATTCAGCCTTCCAGCATTTTAGGAGTTTTTAGCCTCTATTAGTGGTTATCAACTTTGGGGCCATGCTGGAATCCATCACTTAGAGCGCTTAAAAAACTCAGGAGGCAGCCCCACCCCCCCGGACATGCTGATTTAATTATTCTGGAGAGTGGCCTGGGCACCAGGTCTTTTAGAAGCTGCTCAGACAATTCTCGATTCTCGCGTGCAACCAAGGCTGAGACCCTGACCTGGAATTAGTTGGAAATGACATAACTGGCACAAAACAAATCGGCACAAAAATACCCTCCCTGCCCCCAACACCCAAACACATATATAATGTATGTGACAGTGGTGGGGTAGCCCCTCAATAAAGCTGGAAGATGTTTCCTTGTGAAAAACACACACCTAAAGCCACGTGATTAGCACTTTGACACACTGCTGATGGAAAGGAGTCCTTCCCTGGGCTGGCAGATCCTTTTCTAACAGAAGCTAAGAAGTGTGACAAAAGTGGCAGAGTCAGGAGTGATGGGAGAGAAAAAAACCAGATGTGACTGGTGCTGGGAGCTGCAGTGGCAACCACAGATGTGTTGACAAGTATAAGTGCTTTAGATCTGATGCCTGCAAAACACAATCCACAGGGAAGAGACAAAAAAAGGGTCATCAAAAAAAAGAAAGAAGAAGAAAGAGGGGCCAGTAGGCTGCAGGGCTCAGGGGGCTGGGAGACAGGCAGATGCACAGCCCTGCTGCCAGATGGAGAGGCCAAAAAAGAGAAATCTCACGGCTGAATTCTGGGGAAAAGGCAAAAGGACAACTTGACTCACACTTGGAGGCACAGGCATGTGGAGGGAGGGGGACGTATACAACAGAACTTGTCCATATTAAGCACCTACTATGTGCTAGTCAAGGTGCTAAGTTATCACATAGAGCCTCCTGAGTACCCCGCGAGGGGGCCCCATTTTTCCTTTGTTACAGTAAAAGCTACCACTGCTAAGGTGAGCAGACTTTTTAGCTTGACCAGCTTTTTTTTTAATTGGAAAAGTTCAAAAGCCTTGACACAGGGCATAGTCACTGCCATGCCCCCACCCCCACCAGGCACTCCATACTAGCAGACCCAGGAGGCTCCTGATCTGGAGGATTCCACCAGCAAATAGCATCCAGGCTCCACTTAAGGCCAGTGTTGTCCTTTGTGAACAGGTGCAGTGGTGGGATAGAGAAAAGTGCAGGAGCATGGCTCCCTTCACCTTTACTGGGGGTCAGCTAATCTTGATAAAGGCTTTAAGTGCTCACTTTGGGGTGAGGGGACAGCGAGAAATGCATACAAGCTTTTGCTCGTGGTTTCAGAGGCTGGTTCACAGATTCCCTGAAAGCGCAAAGCCCCAGGTGAAGAATCTGAGGCCCCCACCCCGGAGTCCTCGCAGGTCACTGAGAACATGCTGGATAGTTCAAGGCTAATCAGAGTGGGGGGCAGAGCCAGTGGGGCAGAACGTGGCGGGGGGATGGTGATTCACTCCACTTACAACTGCCTCTTGTGCATTCCAGTCCACAGAAAAAGCTACTGTCATAGCAAACAACATCGTATGCTTAATACATAATTTTTGTGAAGCCGAAGGAATGAAGAGTTAATGCATGCACCTAAGTAGCCAGGGACAAAGATATTTCTCTAAACAATAGCGTAACAAACACCACCTAATGAACCCTATAGCCAACCCCAAACAATTTCAAAATTCCTTCCAACGCAGGTTTGAAAATTACTCTCTTAAGTGTCTTCAGTTAAGATGATCTCATATTAAGGTGTATTTTCCTGCCTAGGGACGCTGCGTGAGCAACTGACCATCCTTAGTGAATTTTCTACCTATAACAGGCAAATGAGCTCTTCGTAACGTTCTCCAGAATGAGAAGATCTCTCACCTGGAAAGCCAGCCAGTAAAGGAAGTGAATGAGGACAGCCTCCTCCAGCATATGACAGTATCACATGGCCCATCACATGTCACTTCTCTTCAAACAGACCCATGAGTAACAGCAAGACCTTCAGTCTAGATCACACTGCCTTCCTCATTTTAGGGCACATTTTCCCCAAACTTACTACCTAGAGACAGAGGTCCCGAGTCTTGAGAATAAGAACTAAGTAAATGCTTAGCTATGTCTATTTCTGGAATAGTACTACTGTCTTTGAAGGTCATAGATGAGCAGCCTAATAAAGGTTAGATTATCCCAGATAAATATTAGGAATTTTGCATACAAATTGTTACTCCATAACTTTGGAATGGTGTCTACTATTAGCTGAGCTATTAGGTAAAGTCTCAAAATTCCACATATAATCCCAAACACTTTGGCAGAAATGCATTCACGTATCTTTGAATTCCTGCATCTATCTACTGTTGTTTTATGGCATGTTTTGGGGGCATTTAGGAATTCATTTATTCCACAAACACCTGTGGATGTCTTGCTTTGTGCTATAAATTTCATAGCAGGATCATTAAAATTGATATAACCAAGTGCAGCATCTCAAAGAATAATCCACGGCAACTGGCAAACAAAACTCACTATGACTCAGAGCAGTGCTCCTCAGGTATTAACAAGCACACAGATCCCTTGGGAATATGTTAAACCCACTGGGGTATGTGTGTGGAGCGTACTGGCTCATGCAATGGTGGGGCTGGCAAGTCTGGAATTTCTAGTGCAGGCCAGCAAGCTGGAAACTCAGGCAGGAATCAGTGCTGCAGTTTTAAGGCAGAATTCCTTCTCCAGGAAACCTCAGTTCTTGCCTGTAAGACCTTCCAACTGATTGGAGGAGGCCCATTCACATTAT